AATTCATCCACCCCCATCAATCAGCTCACCACCCTCTGTTGTCTTCGTACAATAGCCAGCTGTAGTGAGAGAATACACTGTATAGTAGGAAACCTTCATACAATGAAGAGCAGAGCTGCATTAGCTAGCTAGCAGTACACTCTAATCCATCTAAAAATACACTCTATCTATATTATTATATAAAGTCAAAGTCCCAGCAACTCCGTATGAAGAGAAAGGAAATGACAGGTTCTCTAGAGCTGCCTCTGTCTTTTCAACAGCTCTGTCAATTTATTAAGAGAGAGCTTCCCCCGCTGGCGGATCAGCTTCAGAGATTCCACAGCAGCACTGACAGTCATATCAGAGGACACACGCGTACGAATCTCATTGATGATGATCTTTCACCGGCAGAACATCATCTGCTCCTTGGAGGAGCTCTTGCGCCAGCTGCCTCCCTGATCCTCCAGGCTCTGCACTGATGGACCACCCCCCAGACCAGTGGTCCACTCCCGCCACAGATAAGGCACTGACTGTATTGTACGAGAAAGAGAATAACCATTTCCTGTCCGGGAAGAGGTGAGAAGTGTGGCTGTCAGATCCACAGATTCAGCATTGTTAGATGATGATTGTCTCATCTCCATCTCTGACTCCACTGACCTCTGTACGATGTCTCTGGAAAGAGTAGAAGAAGAGGAGGGCAGAGAGAAAGTAGAGAGAATGGCAGCCAGATTCATCACTGAATTCTGAGCAGCAGAGCTCTGAGGAACTGCCTGTATGAAGAAAATGATTTGATCATCAACTATATCAGCAAGCTGCTGAGCCATTTTTTGCTGCAGCTGTTGATTCTCATAACCCCACTTATCAATGGACTGAATCATCTCCTGTCGCACATTTTTCAGCTGATCAGCAATGACAGATACTACTCGCTGAATCTGAATCTTCTGAGGCTCCACAGCTGTCTCAAGAGTCTGAACAATCTGAAGAGTATACTTCTGATAATCCTCTCGTACGAAGAGAGCATCTGACCATAGAGGGTGGTCAGGGAACTGCCTCTGCAGAAGCACAGAGTTCTGAAGAATCACTGTATGAAGCTGCTTCAGCAGCCGCAGAAATCTCTGAGCTGTTAAGTCTTGTTCATTCTCTGACAATTCTTGCTCTGTCTTCTTCACTTCTTCCATTTCTGCTGCTTCTCTTTCCCTCTTCTGTGTCTGTCTCTGTTTCTGGCTCAATCTCTCGTACGAATCAAATCTATCTAGCCAGACATCCACCCATGGCCAGATGGCAGCCTCCAGCTGCTTCGGGGGGGGGGGATGGTGGCTCGAGGAAGAAAGTAGTTGCCCTGAGTCTGTGGTTCAAACCCTGCCATTGCTCGTACGAACTCTCAGGAGATATTGGTGAGATAGCAGTTGGTCAGAGCATCATTATTCCATCGGCCAGCCCAGCGAATCTGACCCTCTGACACCCCATTCAGTTCAGCATATCTGAACCCCTGACTCCGACCAAGATGAGTCTTCTTGCTTGACAGAAGCCCAGCTGCTGCATACATGCGATTGACCCACTGAAGCTGAGTATCGTATGAAAGAGGCTTGAAGGGATCCTGTTCACAGAGAAGGTGGATATCATACCAGAGAGAGTGTCTTCAAAAGTCTGGAAGACTTTCCCATACAATATTCCAGCGGTAGAACAGATAGAATGCCAGATGAGATATTGTACAGAGTAGAGAATTCTTATGTCTCATCACAGCAGCATACTTCAGCTGCCCCAGCTGGTTGGTCTTGCCATTATCTGTGATGAGAATCATAGGCCAACATGGAGTGGGCCCCTCATTTGAAAGCTGAAGGATGAAAAGTTCAGGCAGCTGTGCCGTACGGGATGTCTCCCTCTGCAGAAGCATGTTGTGATTCATGAGGAAGTTCAGCTCTGTACAAAGATGGCTCATCACAGATGTTTGATCATTTTTATACCAGCCAGTTCAGCAGAACTTCATCAGATGAATCATCATTTTCTCATTGTATCCATCCTGCAGAGTATTGGCCCCCTGATCCACATACTGTGCCCGCTTTCGTACAGACTCCTTGGTTACATGCGTACAAAGAACTGCACTGACCAGCTGTTCATGTGGATGATCAGAGGAGTTGATTCCTCTGCTCTTCTGAAATCTGTACAGATCCACCACGGCTGCCACATATAGCTTGACTGTGCTCTTACCCACAGTCTGCAGCACAGTGTTGCCATCCCTGTCCGTACGAGCTCTTTTGCTCTTATAAACAGAGCCCTGCAGTGGACGACAAAGCACCTTCTCTTCCAGAAACCAGACCAGCTTTCTCTCTGTCACCATCTCCCCATCTTCAAAGCCAGTCTCCTTGCAGAAGTCCTGTACGAAGAGATAGGAGTTAGAACTAGAATGATCAATCTGAATGCAGGGAAGCAGTGCCACCCACCCGCCATTCTCTCTGCTTGGGGAGATACTGCTTATTGGTATTCTTTGATCGATTCTGCAGGGCCAGGGCCAGGGCCTTTTCCCTGTATGAAAAGAGGTCTTTGCTGATCTGAAGCTGCCGCTCCACCTCTGTACAGTCAGCTAGAGATGTCATGATGAAGAATACAGAGCAGGGGTGCTTAAAAATCTATTCTTGAAGGATTATGCCTGCTCGTACGGTATGAATCAAGTGGGGTTGAATGTATGTCTGCTCATACAGTATGAATCAAATGGGGTTGAATGTACGGAGTATGTACAATATAATTAAACACTAAAAAGTTATCGTGGGGCTTGGCTAACATACATAGTAACATGGGTTATAACGCCACCCAAACCCCCCCCCGTATAACCACTAGATATATTAGCTCGCCACTAGATAGATAAACAGGACGGACAAAGTTACCAGTTTCCGGGTTCGGGTTATCCATCATCTTGAAATTTTACCTTGATACTGCGTATGCACTAGTTAGAAAGTTTGATAGTTCATTTACACGGACCTGGCATATTTGGAGGCAGTGTTGCCGTCAGTCTATCTGGTAAACCTCAATCAATATTGTTGAGCACCAGCAAGTAACTAACTATCGTTCATCAAATCATGATACCATGGGGAGGCCATTTTCAATGAGAAAACAAAATGAGTGAAAATGGGCATAAAAGAAAGGTTTTCTTGTAACAGACAGCGAACAACAGAAAATTGGGAAAAAGAGGAAGTCGCTATGGGCATTAAAGCCTGGGTCAAATGGTAGGTGGTCATTGTATCAGTTTCATCATTGCAAACAATAAGGAGGGAAATAAACAAGCCAAAGGATACATTAAGGGACGGGGGAGGAGGAGCGAAGGAGGAGGGGAGAAAAAGAACCATAAAAGAAAGAAAAGAAGAAGAATCATATAAAATGGAAAAGAAAATAAAAAGAAAAATGGAAAAAGGGTAATGCTAACGGAAGGAAATGGCGGAACGAAAAGTGGAAAAACAAGGAGGAGAATGGAAAGAGAGGAATATAGCAAATAACAGCTCAGTCCCAACCTTCCATATCAATCCCATCATCTTCAATCTCAATAGTCGTCCCGAGCGCCTCCTTCCCTTTCTTTGATCATCGCCTTAAGCTGCTGATTCAACCGACGAATACTAGCGTCTTCCTCGCGTTCGCGCCGTTTCGCCCTCGCCGCCAATCGTTGCGCTTCGATAGAAGCCGGTGAGCTGCCATATTTACTCGGGTTGTTCGATTTGGTGGGTTCGCAGGATGCTTGACTATGTTGATGCGAGGGCGAATATGAGGACGGGGTTCGCGTGGGGGTTAGTAGAGATTGTCTCCTGGACAGTCTGCCGACTGCGACTCTTCGGGGTGAAACTGGATGGTTGCTCTTGCGGGCTATTTTGCGAGCCGAAGAAGAATATGCCGAGGAAGGGCTCACATCAGCTTCCTGTCCATCTGGGGCCTTTTTTGCGTTCCGAACCAAGACCCAGTTCGCCTGGAGTTCATCGTGGCAGTCGTGCAAGAGCCGCGCGTTATTATGAGAAGATTCAATCGGGAAACATCCCGGAACCGTAGCGATCCCGTCATCCCGATTGCCACTAGAAGAGGAAAATACATCAGCCTTCTCATAGACACTCTGCCACGGGCTTGTTTCCTCCACTACTCGCGATGGTAGCGGTGATGGTGGCTGCTGAGCTTCTGATCCCATGTCATACCCCTTCCCTCCTCCCGCATAAAATCCGCGAAACGGACCTGACCAACAGAAGTCCCATACCTTCCCAGCAACACCCCCAACAATTTTCACGACAGCTGCGCCCCAGCTATCATGATTCGTATTGCCGTTATCATAGCGGGAGCCATCTGGATTTAGCCCGTCATCTCGTTCTTGTAATAATGACTCGCGTCTACCTCTTTTCCTCGTATACCCATTCCAGTCCTTGCCAACCCCAACAGGCGGCAAAAACCCCAGTGAAGGGCTATCCATAGGAGTATGTATCATCTCCCGGTAGCGATTAGGTCGATAATCCACCTCGGGCCCATATGCCTCGTCGCCTGATTTTTCAAACGCGGACATCGTCATCATTGTTGACGAGTAGTCAACATCACCAGCAAAACGATAGTCAGTGTTGACCAGCGGTGTGGGGCTAGCGATACGAGAGAAGGAAGATGCCGTCGTAGCTGTCGACATCACCGAGTGGTTCCCCCACATACTCACAGCCGCAGCTGTGACAGGAGTACTATTTTCTAAGCTGCATGTGCCAAAACCACCGCTGACATCGCCATTCATCTCGTCATACCCATGTCTGGCCCGTTTGCGGCTTCCCTGGTGTTCCTGCCCGACAGAGCGGCAGAGGGAGGACGCTGCGGAGGGTGTCTGCGGGGAACGGTAGAACTGCGATCTAGCACCGGCGAGGTCGAGTTTAGGAGGGATATGCGAGTTGAGGATGAAAGTTCCCGGCATAGCTGCTTCGCAAAACGCCATCGTTGTGTCGAAGCCGGTCGGAGGTATTCCGCTGCTTATGCCCGGATGGTAGTTCAGTTGCGGGGCGTAGGTGAGGATTGGATTATTTATTATTTCCGTCTGTAGAGGAGGCAAACTGATGAAGCTGGGAAGTAGCTAGGGAGTGAAAACGAGTGTAACAGCTGAGTCGGACGCACTGCGGCGTGCAACAAACCAGGAGCAGCGAAGAGGCAGGTATGTAACAACTACATACGTAAATGTGTCTAGCTCAGCAACCGATCTGAGTGGAGGAGACGGCTATGGCATATCCACCCATAGGTTTCTTTCTATTTTTTTTTTTTTTTTTCTCCTCTCGTGGATGAAGCTCCGAGCGAGTTGCCAGCAGGCCCAGTGTTGTTCCTTTTCAAGTTTCTTGATTTATTTAGCGTGATTGGCGGGGGCTGCCTCAGCAACCACGGAGGAGATTCCCTGTCCCTACTATTTAATGGCCCAAGAACCATCCGGTTCCCCAAGTCCTCACCGAAAATATCGATACGTCAAACTACTACATAGTACTTGGAAAAAGTAGCATTAACAATAGAAGATTAAAAAAAACGAGAATAGAAAACCCCTGAACCAAGACTACAGCTTCTGCGCCGTCCAACTCACACCCGCTACCTCCAACGCATCCTCCCCATCAACAAGTACACACCAGCCCTCGCTCCCATTACTCCCTCCCTCTTCCCCCGCAACCGCCGCTCTGAAGTTCTCCCGCGCGTACTCCAGCACTTCGTCGTCAAAGGTGCCCGGCTGCAGCCACACAGCGGGGACATCCACAGCCTTGGCCTCCTTAAGGACCGCAAGCGTCACTTTAGGCGGGGTGACGATGGAGAGAGAGGTCTGGGTGGGTGCCGGGAGGGCGGAGGGGGATGGTAGAGTGCTGTATGTCTTCGAAGGCAGGACGATTTCGGAGGCCCGTGGGTTCAAAGGGGTAACGGGAAGAGAGTGCTGGTGGTACCAGGCGAGGACTATTTTACGGTTGGTTGAGTGTCAGCAGCAGTCAGGATTGTTGGCAATTTTTATTTTTCTTTCTTGCGGATTCGCTATTTCAACTGACTCTTGTAGCCAAACTTGCTGGGATCGGTGCTGGCGCCGGCTACGGCGAACCGTGGGGAGGAGAAGAAGCGTTTGGCAGCGGCCTCCATATCTTGATTAATCCTTAAATGGCGTGTATTAACCTATTGCCAGCTGGAGACATGGAAGGTAGACAGTGCTTAAATACTCTCTAGTCTTTGGTGGAGATGCCTCGGAGGTTAGAACCTCCACCACACCAATAATTATTAACTTAGCAGTTGGTTTTGAAACGAAGAGTGCCACAATAATATATATACATATATATATATATATAATTATTAGCAGTGAATTCATACTATACAGATCTGTAAAGCGATGAGAACGCAACAATCAGAGGATTTTTCCACATGTTCTCCAGCTCCTTGCTAGCTGGATAATCCGCTGATTGTCCTGGATACACTATGACAGGTAGTTTCGATGGTTCAGTATTTTAGGAGAGTATGAATAACCATCACACTGCAAAACATCGCCCATGGATTGTATCTGCTCTGGTGGCTTCAATGGGAGCTTGTGATGAATGACTTCACCTCTTCTCACTTCATCCTCCAGATCGATACTATCTAGATGTTTCGAAGTGAGTATCCGGGCGTTGTCAGTCTGGGGATCACTCTTGAGAGGTTGCTGTAACCTACAAATACCTTGACAACAGTTCTAACATACAAACAGGTCGGTGGGGGTGCCATGGCGGGCACAGAAGTCCACAAACATTGCCAGTCGTTGCGACAAATCGAAATGCGCTATCAAAGAGGGCGGCGATATTCTTGATTCAATAGATATCCTAGCAACCGGATCTCTCCCCAGGAATCCTGAGGATCAAACCCTTTAGAAGCAGGTACTTTCACAGGAACACCTTGATTCTCTACTAAATCCAGAAGCGAATGCTGCCCTAATATCATTCCAGAAAATCCCTTCGGCAGAGAGCCAGCAGGGATATACGTCATGGCTGCGCTTCCCCCAAGTTGCAAGACTCAACACATTTAGATGGACTCCGCATCCTGCAAAGTATGACCTATGGATGCTTTGGTTTCTGATTCCCCTCTGGGTCCCACAGTGTATGTCCATCATCACAGCTTTATCGGACAGTAAATGAATGGCTGGTTTGCTGCGAATCACCTCTTCCTCGGCTATCTCGAGACAAGGAAATCAATTATTTAAGGTCATGTGATTTCGCGATTGATCAGCGAGTTCGCGAGGACAACATATCTAAGTGGTATCGTTGTGCAACGAGAAACTTACACACCAGTATTAAATAGCTCACTTTTTGACACATAGCACAGCTGCCGCATTCGCAACTCCATGTAATGATCTGACCATGGGTGGATGCGCGGTAATGCTGCTCCGATATGACATATTTGGATAGGCAAGTGAGCACTCGCCATGCCTCCATTCTTACCCCGGAAAAGGGGGCTGTCCGAAGATCGTTTCCCCAACAAGCGTCAGGCGCGTGAACCCGAGGACATAGGATCATCGACAAGGAAAGATGCAAATGGGACTGCAACGGAATTGTTAGACGACGACTCTGAATCAAACTTGAGTTCCCTACCTTCCTCGAATGCAGACAAGAATAATGGGCATAATTCAGACAATAATGACGACGGCGACGACGACGACGACGACGACGATGATGATGATGATGAAGAGGAGGACTGGGAAGATGCGCTTCAATGGGCAAGTCTAACCTCAGCGCCAACGCCCGCTACTCCAGCAAGCTCCACAGCTCCGCGAGACCTCGAGCTTACATTGGACAAGAACCATGCCATCTTCATAGACCCTGAAGCTACGGGCAAGAAAGGTCCCAGCAAGATTGAACGGCAGATACGCATCCAGACCCACTGTATGCATGTGCAGTTCCTACTATTCCACAACGCTCTCCGCAACTGGTGGATCAATGATGCAGAACTCCACCAGATTCTACGAGATCAATTACCACCAGCTATCAAGAATGAAATCAAGGAATGGGAGATTGCTGCTGGAATACAACATCCTGACCTCCCAACCAAGATTGGAAAGGGAAAGGGGAAGTATAACAATCAAAACAACAAACGGCAGCGGGATTGGGGGGAAGACGCCTCTCGTCTAGAGGCCGGTCAGCCTGATATGAGCCGGGGAGATCCCACGATCCATATTCTTAGGGTTCTTGCCGCGTATTGGAGGAAACGTTTCAGTATTACAGCTCCGGGGTTACGGAAAAATGGATATCGACCAACCGCGGCGCTTCAGGAGGAAATCAGCTCATTCCACAAGGGCCATCATAGTAAATATCATCATGGTGAGCGGATAAGAGATCTAGATGAGTTTCGTGACCTAGCACGTCGCTCGGAAGGCTCACGGGATGTGGGCGCACAGCTGTTTACGGCTTTGTTGCGGGCATTGGGAATGGAAGCAAGGATGGTCGCTAGTCTACAACCTCTCGGGTTTAGATGGACCAAAGTGGAAAACTATCGCCTGAAAGACCAGGAGGTGGCAACGGCGACAGTGACAGATGACGGGGCGGAAGTACCGTCTCCTAGTGAGGCACTCTCCAGTGACGAAGGTAGCATAACCGATGACCCGTCGTCCAAGCCTAATAAACGAAGACCAAAGAATAAACATAATCCAGTCACAAACAGGAAATTTGATAGTGATCTTCCCTTCCCGATATATTGGACTGAGGCCGTCTCTCCAATCACACATGAAATAATCCCAGTCGAAACTCTAATCCTGCCAAGTTCCAATGCAGTTGCGACGACGCCTGAGCTTTTATCATCATTTGAGCCGCGCGGCGTCAAAGCTGAGAAGGCAAAGCAGGTAATTGCATATGTCGTCGCGTACTCCCCCGACGCAACAGCCAAAGATGTCACTACTAGGTACCTCAAGCGGCACACCTGGCCGGGGAAGTCCAATGGTTTTCGCATGCCTGTTGAGAAAATCCCGATGCATGGCGGACCCGCGAGATATTTTGTCTATGATTGGTTCAAAGCTACAATGAGAGGATATGTTCGGCCAGAAGATAAGCGAACCATTGTTGATGAGAAGGAGGATTCGAAAGATCTCGTTGCGAACCAGCCCGAGAAAAAACTTCAAAAGAAGGAAGGGGACACGTTGCAGAGCTTGCGGAATTCTACGGAGTTTGTCCTTGAACGGTTTTTACGTCGTGAGGAGGCCATACGTCCCGGTGCGCAGCACGTTCGAACTTTCACGTCCGGCAAGGGAGACAAGATGAAAAAAGAAAAAATTTATAAACGGTCAGATGTTGAGAAGTGTCTTTCTGCAGAAAGCTGGCACAAGGAAGGTCGGCAGATCAAGATAGGAGAAGCTCCGTTGAAACTTGTCCCAATACGCGCGGTAACATTAACGCGGAAGCGCGAAGTTGAGGTGGCAGAGCGGGAGAGCGGCGAGAAGCAAATGCAAGGTTTATACGCGCTTTATCAAACGGAATACATCATCCCGCCGCCAATTAAGGACGGGAAGATCCCGAAAAACGCCTACGGGAACATCGACTGCTTCGTCCCTTCCATGATCCCCAAGGGCGCGACACATATCCCCTGGCGTGGGACGGTGCGAATATGCAAGAAACTAGGCGTAGATTATGCAGAGGCGGTGACTGGGTTTGAGTTCGGGAGTAAGATGGCCGTTCCTGTCATAGAAGGGGTGGTTGTGGCATCTGAAAACGCGGGTCTTGTCAAGGACGCCTGGCTGGCAGAGGATGCTGAAAGGCGCAAAAGAGAGCAGTTGAGACATGATAAACTTATTCTTTCCATGTGGAGGAAGTTCATTATGGGCCTACGAATTGCTGAGCGCATTCAGGCTGAGTATGGAAGTGGTGGAGATGGAGAGGAACGGAATCCGTTTTCGAATAGGCGATGCGATCGCGATATTCCGCCTACCGAAGACGGTTTTGAGAGGGAGAAAATGAGGGGAGAGCCTGTTGATGAGGGTGGTGGGTTTCTGTTGCCGGGTGAGGATGAGTCGGTGCATCGCAAGGATATAGTTGATGAAATGGAAGGGGGATCTCAGTCGCGGATGGCAAAGGATATGGGCGATGAAAATGATGGTAGAATCGATATCGAATCATCGTCCGAATTGAGTGATCCTTTATCTGTTGTCTCTGTTCATTCAACGCCCTGATCCTGGATCCGAGCGACTCGACCTCGCTTAGGACATCTATTATACTAGTTATCCCGAAGCACCGAACCTTTTCCAGCCAGTATGAATGGACATATTGTATTTATATAAATAGAAATAAAGAACGCCATAATATCGTGTATATGTGCATCTTGACCAAGGGGGTATTTCCTCTGTAAACTTGGAGCCCTTTTGCTCGACAACCTGGACGGCTTTCGGGAACAGCTAACACTTCAAAGGGGGCGACGTCTATCAGTTCCTTACCGGAGCTTTGCTTGATCATTCAGACCTCCGCCAGTAGAATCCACCATATAATTCTCTAACCGTATATTCCAGTTGCTTGCCCGTATATCCCCTTGGTGCCAAAAAGCCATCCCCACAATGTCCCTAATCTCCAAGAGCCCAATATATTTTGGTCCTTTCCTAGTAACTTCGCAGGCAAGCATCCATACTCCTTCATACAACCCCACCCCCTCTGCTGACATCAACAATCAGGTCTTCTACATCACCCCACTCTCCTTCGCCCTCGTAAACCTGAAACCCCTCCTACCAGGGCACGTCCTTGTCTGTCCCCTCCGCCGCGTTCCGCGCGTCGCCGACCTCTCCCCCAGCGAAACAACCGACCTTTTCCTAACCGTCCGACGCGTGAGCCGCATGATCGAACGCGTCTACCGTGGCACAAGCCTAAATATAGCTATACAGGACGGTCCGGAGGCGGGGCAGACGGTGCCACACGTACATGCGCATATAATACCGCGGCGGAAGGCGGATTTGGACCAGCGGGGTGGTTCAGATGCTATTTACGAGATGATGGAGGGGCAGGAGGGAAATATTGCGAGGCATTTAGGGGAGATGGTGGAGGAGAAGAGGCAGAGGGAGAAAGAGAGATCTAGATTTCCAAGACCAGATAATGAGGGGAGGGAGCCGAGAGCGGAGGAGGAGATGATGGAGGAGGCTTTTGCGTTGGCGAAGGAGATGGAGCAGGAGACTGTGGATTGAGTTGGGGCATCTTGGTGATGCGGACTATATCATTGACAATGGCGTCGAAAAGGTTTTTATAGAGATATTGAGGGCGTTATTATTACGAATTTATCCTGTAGGATTTTTATTTCCTGACATGCACGACATTGACGGATCTAGAGCTGTTTGCAGGGAAATGGGAAGTGAGTATGTAAGGTGGGAAACGTGTATCCCTGGGTTTGATTCTATAACTTATTCCGATGTTGGAGACGCAATAAGAAGGCGCCCAAAAGGAAACCCTAACTCCGGGTCTGCTGTGATATCACAAAGTGAACCGCTCGCACATCATCTATGGGACCAAAAAGGGAGAAAATGATAAGTTGAAAGGACCATTTCATAGCTCATGGCACATTCGTCATCGAACTCATGTGTTCAATAGCGGATTTAGGCGTCGGTTGACTTGCCCGCCCAAAATGATTCTCTTTCCTGCATTACGACCGCAGCCCACTCCCTAACCTCAGGAAGCTTGATTCCCTGCAGCACGTGGAAGAATTCCGACAAATCCAACTTCCCCGCATGGCTCCGCTCATACTCTACAGCCTGCAGTAACAGCTCTAGCTTGTCGATATCATGGACGAACTTCGCTTCAAGCGTATCGTTATCCTCATACTCTTCGAATATCTCCTGGATATCCTGGCTCGCCAGACCCGGCACCGCTCCAAGCAAACTTTTTGAAATGTATTCGATAACTTCCGCCTCACGCCTGGCTTTTTCTACTTTCGGTATGTGTGTGTCTGCTGGGGTGATGTCGCCAACTATGGATTCTGCCATGTCATGAATCAAAGCCATTTTGGTGCAGCGGGGAATATTGAGTCTAGCCGCAAGCGCAGGTGGTGCGAACATCGTCATGATGGACATGCGATACATGTGATCTGATATTGATTCACCGTGTGCAATACCAAATCGTCGCCATCCTTCGCGTTTTGTGGTCTTTAATCGCTCAAGGAGATGGAAGAAAGGAACTGGAGTGGGAGTGTTCTGAAGAGGCGGGTGAGGTAGGGTAGCGATGACTGGACATTGTATTGTCAGTATCTTGTTAACTAAATAACGAAAAATCAGGTCGTCCGATAAGATTGGAGAGTGCAGACCGGATTGAGCCGTCCATTGAGCGTCCGTCGGCAATGACAACCCCATGATATCGGCAACGTCAAGCAATATTTCGGAAGCGCGTACTGAGCCAAAAGTGCAAGCTGCCTTCGAAAGTGTTATATCGATCGCTATTTATCTTTAACAAAAATTTGAAGTTGCTCTAAAGTAAATATTTGTACGAGGAGAAGATCTATCCCTCTCTAGCGGCGAGTGAAATGGTAGCCGGAAGAATAGTAATATGTTTCAATGTTGACGCGGAGGATTCCAAGTTCTTTCGGCTTGGTTGAAGGGTTCTGGACAAACAATGCAAACAACACACTCACCATCCAACCTTCCTTTGTTTACTCTGCCAGGTTCGTCAATGTACTGTGCTGCGTGCAAACGAGGAGTGATTAAGCTGGACACCAGCATCGGCAGCCCGCATCGACAGCCCATGCAGATGGTGGGGACAAAAATAAACACGGATAACTTGAGTGAGCGCTTTGGTTAAATCATTGGAATATCTATCGATTATGACTTTTTACAATGCAATCTTCCACCCCTTCTTCTCTGAGGCCCAAAGGACTCAATTGGCCAGTCTCCTCGCACATCACCGTTTTTGTGCGAAACCTCAGGCTACTGCACTTTGACCAGCTCCCTGACTGGCCAAATATAACTGTCCGCTCCTTTTCGGGTGCTCAACCAAACCTTCGGCAGCGCATCAAAGTGGTGGAATGGTCTCTATACCAACTGTTTACGATATGGGACCCAGAAGGGGCTCAGAATGTAAGTACCCGTTAAAGGGTAATCATCGTACACTGTTTATTTTAATTGGAAATGCTTCTAAAACTACCTTATCAGAAATTACGTCCTTTTTTCCCTCCACTTGAACCCTTGCAATCCGTTAACCTTCGGGCAGCCCTTTTTCGTGCGCTGTCCGATATGAAAAAGAATGGGGTTCTGGGAAGGGAAGTGATACTCCGCAAGACGATGCTTGATGAGTGTAAAGGGGAAAAATTCGAGGAGGCGCTGGCCACATTTTCTTTGACAGTGCTACGGAAGGTGATATTGGCTCGCAAGGGTGAACACCACAATCCAGTTCTTGAGATGACTATCAATGGGAGAGCTTCGTCCTCAGAACAAGAGATGCTGGTTCCACTGATTATAGCCCATCGCGTCTCACTCACAACCATGATTAATGATAAATGCCATATACGACAAGCTTATGACCAACTGAAAACCTTACTTGAAAATAAGACGATAGAGCTTGCTGCCCGATCAAAGCAAGCTGCGAATAAACCCACTGCTGACGAAGATGAACTTAGCCATGAGATCATAAACCTATGGCATGGAAATGAAAAATGGGCCCACACAATTCTCAATGGCGGAATACGAGTGTCCACTGATCACGTTCTCGAGTCATCTTTCCCCCAAACGCTGTCGCTTATTAGAAATGGCCAGCTGGGTGATATAGGAAACAGACCTTCCACAGATCTATTGGCTGATTTAGATAATCGACTCTCAGAACAGAAGGCTAGAGTTGAAAAATGGCGGAAATTTAAACATACTCTAGTGGAAGAACGAGGTGTAAAGCAACCATCGAAACACCGCAGCTCCTCCCAGATATTAGCTTTCCGGGATCACCAGTCGTTAACAATCGCTTCACTCGCTCAGTCAGATCGCGCGTCAACCTCTCTGTCGACCAATGGCACAGAGTACTCCTCGTTAGTTTCAGCACTTGATGCTGCGCTTCTGAAGCACGAGGTCAACATCTCACAAAAGAAACGGCAGCCAGATTCAGAAGATTCAAGAAACC